AGTTAAGTGACTAAAAATGAGTGACACCTAATTTATAAATATGCATAACGATTAAAATTAAGTAATCAAGCTCAATATTATTTACATTCGTCGTATTCACATTGACTTATGGTATATTACATCTGAAATTGTTCAATATTTTTCTTCGCCATCCCAAAGTTTTAGATTTTTTTATCACTAAGCTAAAAACATAAAAGACTATAGTATATGTAAAAAATTAATTATATTTTAATTGTTACCTATTTTTTATACAAAATAGGTAATAATTAAAATAAATAATCAAGCTAGAATTTATTGATATTTACCATTTTCACATTGAATTATGGTAAGTTAGATTTAAATATATTCAATATGTTTCTTCTCCATTACTAAATTTCATGTTTCTTCGTCACTAAGCCGCATAGTTAAAAGACTGTAAATGAATGACAAATAAATTAAATCTACATGGGTTATCACTAAAATTAAATATTGAAGCTCAATGCTATTTGTATTCACTATAATCACATTGTATTATGGTATAATAGATGTAAACAATTTCTATATTTTTCTTCTTCTCCATCACCAAAATTTTGGTTTCCTCACCACTAAGAAACTAAGTTAAGTGAATACAAATGAATGACACATAATTTATACATATCCATAATGATTAAAATTAAATAATCATGCTCAATATTATTTATATTCGTCGTATTTACATTGACTTATGGTATATTACATCTAAAACTGTTCAATATTTTTCTTCACCATCCCAAAGTTTTAGATTTTTTTATCACTAAGCTAAAAACATAAAAGACTATAGTATATCATCTAAAATTAATTATATTTTATTTTTCTACTCCATCACAAAATTTTAGGTTTTTATCCACTAAAAAACAAAGCTAAAAGACTATAATCCATGACATATTTTTTATATAAAATAGGTAATAATTGAAATAAATAATCAAGCTTGAATTTATTGATATTTACCATTTTCACATTGAATTATGGTAAGTTAGATTTAAATATATTCAATATGTTTTTTCTCCATCACTAAATTTCATGTTTCTTCGTCACTAAGCCGCATAGTTAAAAGACTGTAAATGAATGACAAATAAATTAAATCTACATGGGTGATCACTAAAATTAAATATTGAAGCTCAATGTTATTTGTATTCACTATAATCACATTGTATTATGGTATAATAGATGTAAACAATTTCTATATTTTTCTTCTTCTCCATCACCAAAATTTTGGTTTCCTCACCATTAAGAAACTAAGTTAAGTGACTACAAATGAGTGACACATAATTTATACATACGCATAACGATTAAAATTAAGTAATTCAGCTCAATATTATTTATATTCATCGTATTCACATTGACTTATGGTATATTACATCTAAAACTGTTCAATATTTTTCTTCACCATCCCAAAGTTTTAGATTTTTTTATCACTAAGCTAAAAACATAAAAGACTATAGTATATGTAAAAAATTAATTATATTTTAATTTTCTACTCCATCACAAAATTTTAGGTTTTTACCCACTAAACAACAAAGCTAAAAGACTATAATCCATGATATATTTTTTTAATAAAATATGTAATAATTAAAATAAATAATCAAGCTAGAATTTATTGATATTTACCATTTTCACATTGAATTATGGTATGTTAGATTTAAATATATTCAATATGTTTCTTCTCCATCACTAAATTTCATGTTTCTTCGTCACTAAGTCGCATAGTTAAAAGACTGTAAATGAATGACAAATAAATTAAATCTACATGCGTGATCACTAAAATTAAATATTGAAGCTCAATGCTATTTGTATTCACTATAATCACATTGTATTATGGTATAATAGATGTAAACAGTTTCTATATTTTTCTTCTTCTCCATCACCAAAATATTGGTTTCCTCACCACTAAGAAACTAAGTTAAGTGACTAAAAATGAGTGACACCTAATTTATACATATGCATAACGATTAAAATTAAGTAATCAAGCTCAATATTATTTATATTCGTCGTATTCACATTGACTTATGGTATATTACATCTGAAACTGTTCAATATTTTTCTTCGCCATCCCAAAGTTTTAGATTTTTTTATCACTAAGCTAAAAACATAAAAGACTATAGTATATGTAAAAAATTAATTATATTTTAATTATTACCTATTTTTTATATAAAATAGGTAATAATTAAAATAAATAATCAAGCTAGAATTTATTGATATTTACCATTTTCACATTGAACTATGCTAAGTTAGATTTAAATATATTCAATATGTTTCTTCTCCATCACTAAATTTCATGTTTCTTCGTCACTAAGCCGCATAGTTAAAAGACTGTAAATGAATGACAAATAAATTAAATCTACATGGGTGATCACTAAAATTAAATATTGAAGCTCAATGCTATTTGTATTCACTATAATCACATTGTATTATGGTATAATAGATGTAAACAATTTCTATATTTTTCTTCTTCTCCATCACCAAAATTTTGGTTTCCTCACCACTAAGAAACTAAGTTAAGTGACTACAAATGAGTGACACATAATTTATACATATGCATAACGATTAAAATTAAATAATCATGCTCAATATTATTTATATCCGTCGTATTCACATTGACTTATGGTATATTGCATCTAAAACTGTTCAAAGACCTAGGTTTAAATTTCGTCAAAGCGAAGCAAGGGTTTGGTGGCTAAGAGAACTTGGGATGTTCGCTTAGAAAGCACGGTCGGAAAGGTTAGGCCTGTGTAGCTGGCATGAATTAATCAAGAAGAAAGAATGTGCGCTTAGCAAGCTTGAGCGGTGCACTCAGCAAGCCTACCTTTCCCAAGCCTATAAATAGGGGTATCTGACCTTCATTTGAGATATTCAATTCAGTTCAATTTAAAATTATTGGATCATATTCAATGGAATTATTGGTGTTTCCTTAGAAAAGCTAGGTTCTCACCACAAATCACAATAAGAGAGAATAGGAAAGGAAGGTTGAGGACATAAGCACTATTTGAGTAATCATCAACAAATGCTTTTTAATTTCCTTCTATTAGGCCTTGATTGTAAAGCTACGATGAGTAACCTTAACTAGTTTTCTCTTCTATTTGGGTTAGATGTAGTTGTTAGGTTACTTGTCTTTTGATCCCGACCATAACATTCTATGTAGTTCTTATTAAGTTTTAATATTGATGGATTCTTTGTTCTTAATGCATATTTTGCATTAGCTATCTAAAAAATGATATCAAGGTATGACTTTATATTTGGAAGGTATTGGTCATTACTAAATCCAAGTCTATCATCTATTGCATGCTAAAGTCTAGACATATATTTAGGTTTGATATTCACACAACTAATTATATTGGTGAAATGGAAAATTAATATATGTATTCACTTTTGAAACTTAATGTTGACGTATTGGTTAATAAGCTGAAGGATGGTCTATTAGGTATTATGAATAATCTCACGTCATTGACTTATACTTGATTTGCTTTAAGAGCAACAGACAATAATATTAATAACTGGTTAGAATTGCATATTAAGACTTAAGAAGAATGCTACAAAAGAATATGTCAATGAAGTTTAACCCTAACAAAGTTTTGTCACTGTTGAAGCACCAAATGTTTATTTTCAGTTATTTTAATTTTCAAGTATTCACCAAATAACCAATCTTCTAATAAATAAAACTTAAAGTAACCTAAACTATTGAATGGTCTTTGAAACACAATCAACCTCTGTGGAGATGATAAAAATTGCATTTGCAATCTGCACTACAACAAAATTGCATCGTTGATGGGGACTAACGTTAGTTTTTAAAGAGATTGTGATATTTTTTTATCATTTTAGGTTTTCTGTTTATATGTGTCAATATTTGTGTATATTTTATTTATAATCACTAACCTACTAATCGTGTTAGCTAGTTATGTGAGGTAAGGATCCACCAAAACAACTTTTGTTTGATCGCAATATTGAAAAATGATTGTAGAAAGAATAATAAGAACAAAAAGAAAAATTTGCAAGTCAAGTTACATGATCTAGAAGAGTCTTACGTTTCAAAACAAGAAACCATAGTTGATATGGAGCACAACAACAACAATAACCATCAAGACAACAAAAATGACAATATTGTAAACAATAGAGAAAAATTTCTCGAATATATTTTTGATTCACAACAAATTCATATAGGCAAAGACAACCATTGTGGTGATCTCCCAAGGCCGAACTGAAATTCTTTGTGAAGCATCATAAAGGTACAAATCCATGATGAGAATATGTCTAAACCACAATTTTGACAATCTTACACATGTCTACATCTTCATAAATTGATTACAACAACAACCAAAGTTTTTATTACATGCTATTGTTAGGGGTTCTCTTATGTCAAAAAGCGTACATGATGTAATTGCAATTATTGAAAGACTGGCATTTAGTTATCATTAAGGACAAGCTAATAGAAACCCTTATCAAAGGAATAATGATATCATAGTGTTGGATACCAATAATGTTATTCTGCAACAACAATTAAATAAAATGCATGAATCACCACAACAAAGACAAATTACATTTTATGAATTATGAAATAGTGATCATCCAATTAGATTTTGCTTTCCAACTTATGTAAAGGTTCTCTTATGTCAAAATTTGTGCAATAATGCGTAGCAGAAATTTTAAAGAACTATCAGAAATTTTGAAATTTTAGATAGAAAAAAGTGAAATTTTAAAAATAAATAATAACAAGATATTTTTGAAATACTGAAAATATAGGGGGTGCAGGTATGAAATGAAGGTGGCTGATTACATTTTCAAATAAATCATTTATGAAATTGGACAAGCCCTTTCGAAATATACTGATTATGGCCCAAACAGAACAAAGAAAGAACTTTCCCGAAAGAAAAAAAAAAAAACTTAAACCCTTCCTCTAACTCTAAAGCCCCATTTGCTTCTTCTTCAGTTCTCTGATCTCACTCCACTACTTCTTCTAACATTCACAATTCACTGTTCCTGCAACTGCAATGTATCGATTTGCTTCTAAATTGGCTTCCTCCATTGCTTCTTCCACCTCAAAGAACAAGAATCTCGTAAGACTACAACTTTTTCTATACTTGTTTATTTGTTAGTTTTGAAGTGTAAAGTTTAAATTTTTATTGAATTGGCATTGTGGGTGTATGCTTGTTCATTTCAATTTTACTTTTTTTGCTTTGATGGTGCAATTTTGAAATGAAAATGAATGATTTTGGGGCAGGTGTATAGTGGGGTATTGTTAAGAAGAAATTATGTGACGAAAGATATAAACTTTGGAGTTGGGGCTCGTGCTGCTATACTTCAAGGTGTTTCTGAGGTTGCTGAGGCTGTAAAAGTTACCATGGGACCCAAGGTATTGCTATTGTCTTGTTTTCTGTTACACTTTTATTACTCATTCTTCATTTTCTATGTTCATCATTGTAGTGCCTATATATGCTGCATGTTTAGGTCTTGTTTGGATAGAAAGCTTAAGTAAGCACTTATAACATAAACACTTATCATATAAGTGTTTGTGTGTAAGCTATTCGATAATAAAAGATAAATAAAAACAAACTGTTTTCATATAAGCTATACGTTGTTTAGAGCTTGTGGAAATGAGCATGTGATAGTTTGTTTCCACAAGCTCTCCTAAATAGTCGCACAAATAGATAAGCTCGGATAAGTTAGATCAAATAGACCCTTAGTAGAATTACTTCTTATCTTATGAGTTTGGTTGTTGAATTCAATTTTTTGTATTTGAAACTATTTCTTCTTACACATGCTTATTGCAAGTTTCACCCTATGGATTTGTTGATGGATGTTAGTATTGTTTGTAAGAGTCAAAATATGATTTGGATTAGAAACATTGACTGGAGAAATTTACATTGGGAAGTGGTAAAGCATAACTTTAATATCTTGTGTTTTGATTTGGTTGAGCTAGGGTCGAAATGTGATAATTGAGAAAAGCCATAGGGGTCCTAGGGTCACGAAGGATGGTGTTACCGTGGCCAAAAGTATCAGTTTTAAAGACAAAGCCAAAAATGTTGGTGCCGAACTCATCAAACAAGTGGCCAAGGCTACCAACACTGCTGCAGGAGACGGTGATTACTTTTCTCTCAACTTTTTTTACCTCAAAAATATTCTACAAGTTTTTATTGAGAATTTTATTTTCATTGATATTGTTACTATAGCATCAATCCTACAAGAAGATATTAATTCCTTCAGATCTCACAAGCCAATGTTTCTTCTCTGATTTCAGGTACAACTTGTGCAACTGTTTTGACTCAGGCAATACTCATAGAAGGTTGCAAGTCAATTGCTGCTGGTGTAAATGTCATGGACTTGCGTAATGGAATAAATAAAGCAGTTGATGCTGTAATTACTGATTTAAAAAGCAGAGCAGTAAGGATAAGTACACCAGAAGAGATAACCCAGGTGCAAGGAGTTCTCAAAAATGCATTACTGTTACTATAGTCAATATAATTGATTTACAGTATAATGCTTATTTAGTTGCTTCCTTTAGTCAATTTTAGATCTATAGGCATTGAATAATATTGCCGTGCCTGATACATATCTAATCTTATTCTTTTGGAGAAAAATCAGGTTGTACTGCTTATTGTCTTCATAATAGATATGTTATATGTCATTCGTCGTACTGTTTTAAATTGTTTGCTGCTGGCTATTCATTCATTTTGTATGACTCGTAGGTTGGTACAATATCTGCAAATGGGGAGCGTGATATTGGAGAATTGATTGCAAGGGCAATGGAGAAAGTTGGGAAGGAAGGAGTCATTACTGTTGCTGTAAGTAAATTCTATCTATTTTACTTAACTTAATTTATTTGCAAAGTTTCAATTCAGGCTGTCTTAGTTTTTAACGTTTTCAGGATGGCAACACTTTGGAAAATGAGTTGGAAGTGGTGGAAGGAATGAAGTTAACTAGAGGCTACATATCTCCTTATTTTATTACTGACCAGAAGACCCAAAAATGTGTAAGCGTGGACTTATTGTATGATTGATTTGCTTGGATAAGAATCTGATGATAGTATAGTTAGGGGGAAATGAATTTCTTTTTCTTATCGTTAGTATGTTTTATAGAGTCTCCTTTCTCTACAAAGTTGACGCCTTTATGTAAGAGACCTTGTTACTTTTCTTCGTATAATTATGTGATCTTTTGTTAAGGATATAGTGTTCTGGCTCATTAGTTTGAAGGCTATTTTCAGTTTTCAGTTAATTACTTGTGGTTTTTCATTGATATGTGCTTTTATGGCTTCATGATAAGTCATAGAATTAATCAGCTATTAGCTTAGTTTATTCAATTGTATATGACATAACCTATAAATGTAAGGCTTCATTCAATTTGTTTATTTTTGTGGGGGAGTTAATTTTCATTTGTGATGTTAATAAAGGTGATTTCCATTTTGATAGGAATTGGAGAATCCATTTATCCTCATCCACGACAAGAAAATTTCAGACATGAATTCACTGTTGAAAGTTTTGGAGCTGTCAGTAACGGTATATAAGCCAATCTTGATTCATTGTACTTATTTTCATTTACGATTTGAATATTCTCATGATTTACTTTTCTATTTTGATTTTTTAATCAGAATAAAAGACCACTCCTAGTTGTTGCGGAAGATGTTGATAGTGATGCATTGGCTATGCTCATACTCAACAAGCACCAGGCTGGACTTAAGGTGATTAATGAGTTCATCTTTGTTATATTTCCTGCTACCTCATGGTTTAACAAACTTGATGGCTGGTTTTGTTGTCACATCTGATTTCAGATTATTGTATAAGTAACTTGGATTTCTTTGTTGCTGTTACATGCAACTTGGATTTTGGTCATCATAGATAGCATATTTGAAGTGTGTATCTTGTCATTTTCTCCCTAGTTTTGTGTGTTTGTCAAATGTTTTGTTTTATTTATGGATTTGCAAGTCCGAAGTAATGCCACGCTTTCCCTATGTATTTTCGAGCTACTTGAAACTTGATTTTGTATATATTTGTATTCCACCTTATTTCAAGTTTCTTGTATTTTAGGTTTGTGCTATAAAAGCTCCTGGTTTTGGGGATAATAGAAAAGCAGCTCTCGATGATCTTGCGATTCTTACCGGAGGAGAGGTGATTCTCTATCTACATTTTATTAACCAGTTGTTATATTCGGGGCTTCGCCTCCTTCTATGGTTGTACTGGTTTTCTGATAAATTATTCAATGACAACTCGACTCATCCCAAGGCTAGCATTTGGGAGTACTGCATATTATGCTGAAAATGATCACAGTGAATTTGAAAACAGGTTATCACAGAAGAGCGTGGCATAGCTCTCAATAAAGTCCGACCTGAAATGCTCGGCACTGCAAAAAAGGCACGTGGCTTGAACCAACATAACTGTTCTTTGTTTCCTCTATTATATTACAATGTTGCAGAAACATCTAATTCAATGTGCAACAGATTACTGTCACCATTGATGACACTATTGTTCTACATGGTGGTGGGGATAAGAAGTTTATTGAAGATAGATGTGTGCAGGTATCTTTTCCCCCTTTTTTTGGTTTTTTATAGTACTAAATTTTTACTCTTACTTTCCTTTGATATTGAAAAAATTGCCATTAAGCCGAGTGATTTTATTTCTATTTATGAATTTAACACAGAACTTTTGATTTAAATAAAAATATTACCGGTTCTTAAGTTATAACTTTGTGTAGCTAAGGGAAGCAATGGAGAGGAGTTCTGCAACATTTGATAAAGAAAAGGCACAAGAACGGCTATCAAAACTCTCTGGCGGTGTTGCTGTTTTCAAGGTTTGTCATTCATCCTTAAAAACCACTAGTTTGTGGTGTTTAAGTTGTAATATTTACCTCACATGGAAGATGGGTTTAAAATTCTACAGGTCGGTGGGGCTAGTGAGGCAGAAGTCGGGGAACGGAAAGATAGGGTAACTGATGCTTTAAATGCCACTAGAGCAGCTGTGGAGGAGGGTATTGTTCCAGGTAACTCAAATTCGCGCATGTTTAGAATCACGGTGAGTTTGTCAGAATCACAACGAGCCACCGTGATTTTGTCAAACTCACCATCTCACCCTGATTTTGCCTAAATCATCTGTTTCATATTCTTTTTCACATAGTTTGATTACTTGTTCATCTATTAAAAGTCGGCATGTAATCATTTTATCTAGGTGGCGGAGTTGCTCTCTTATATGCTAGCAAAGTCTTGGAGAATCTTGAAACTAAAAACGAGGATGAGAGAAGAGGAGTACAAATTATTCAGTACGCACTCAAGGTTTGTGCTGTTTGCTTCACACACTTTTTTTGTCACATAATGTCCCTTCTCTATTTTCACTTTACCTCGAAATTTGCCATTTTTTCCAACAATGCTTATTACTTGTCACAGGCACCTACATTTACAATAGCTGCAAATGCTGGTTTTGATGGTTCTTTAGTTTATAGCAAATTGTTGGAACAAGATAATCTTAATTTGGGTTTCGATGCTGCTAAAGGTTAGTAACAACGAAGGTTTTGATGCTGTATATTGACATATATGAAAAATGATTGTTTAGTAAAAAGAAGGTTGTTTAACTGGTGCTTATTATGCTAAAACAGGAACTTATGTTGATATGGTGAAGGCTGGAATTATAGATCCTGTTAAAGTTGTTAGAACAGCTTTGGTAGATGCTGCCAGGTAAAATCATCAGATTGCAATTTCTTTCCACTGCTTATATTTCATACATTGCTATATGTTAAACTTGTTTTTGCCTTAATGCAGTGTGTCGTTGTTACTGACGACAACCGAAGCATCTATAGTAGAAAATGTGAGCGACAAAAACAAACCTCCTCAAAGGGTTGCGGATATGGATGATTTGGACTACTAAACCTGCTTCAACAAACGATGAAAGAAATTTTTTGCATTAATTTTCTACTTATTGAAGAAGTTGCTTAAGTGTATAAACTGAGGGGTTGTAATTTAAGGAGTGAAGATGAAATTATGCAGCCATTCACATTGTTATAGGGAAAATTCATGTCTCATTCAAGTTATCATCACCAATAGGCTAAGATAAAAACTAGTTCCATTCTTTAGGTGTTATAGGGAAGTTCATGTCTCATTCAAGTTATCAACATTTATGTAGAAAAGTTCAAATCATAAAAAATTTTAAACTCTGTTTTTGTTACTTGTCACTAAAAATTTTAAATGTTACTTTTTGGTGTTTGTTGTGAGAATATTTTATCTGAATATAAATATTAATTAAAGAGTCAAAATTATAGATAATTTAGACAAATAATGGTAGCAACATATAGATTAGTTAGAACTTTTTCTAAAATTATTATAGATAATTTAGATAAACAAAATTCGGCTAGTATTTTATTATATTTCACTTTTCTAGATAAAATAGTATCTTTATTGGAAAAAAGGAGGATTGGTTGGTATCTTCTCTAAACAATTTAGTATTTTTTATTTTATTTTTAAATTTACTTTAAACTATTATTGAGGATAATTATGTTTAGACAATGAGTAACATAATACATGGAAATTATAAACGGCTCTTAGATCTAACAGTTTGTTGTAAATAGGTGATTGGTTGCAGTGCAGTAGCCCTACAGTACGGTTTATGGGCATTGTTGTAAATCGATCCGTAATATTATAAAATCCTAATTATTAGACTGAAATTAAGAAAATTATAGCTGTTATATAATTGCAAAGATCATTACTATTGATTGAAGTATATTAACAATTATCGATTGTGTTTATTATTTTTTTATTTTTAAGTTTTATTTATCTTTAATCTTCTATAGTGATTATTATTCTAATAGTTGATATTAGAACGATTAACCTTAGTGCGGAATTTGAAGTGAAAAAATTTGACGGAGCGAATAATTTTAAATTATAGAAAATGAGGGTTAAATATATGTTGGCTCATCAAAGGAGAATTATGAAAAAGGAGGATTATGAAATAGAGGATAACAACACTAAAGAAGGTTTGAGATAATGTCTTCAACAATATAATCATTGACCTAATAAAGTTTGGGTGAAGATTAATGACAAAGATAAAATGATACAAGTATTTTGATTCATAAATACTTCAGATTGGTTGCAGAAGGTGTGAGTATGACAATTGTGTTTATGTTAAGAGCTATGATGATGACTTTTTTATTTTTCTGTTTCTTTATGTTGATGATATGTTGATTGTTGCTAATTACATGACGTAAATATACTAGAAATCATATTGGGAAATACATTTGACATGAAAGACTTAAGATGATGCTAAGAAGATTCTTGGTATGTAAACTCATAGGGATAAGAGTGTTAGAAAATTATGGTTTTCTCAAAAAGCTATGTTGAAAAGGTGATAGGCAAGTTTGACATTACTAATTCGAAGGCTGTGAGTACTCCATTGACAAATCACTTTAAGCATTCAATGGATATATGTCCAAAGACAAATACAAAAGCTGAGTATGTGTCAAAGGTTCCTTATGCTAGCTTTGTTGGTTTTTTAACATATATTATGATATGCATTAACCAAATTTGGCACAAGCTATAAGTCAAGTTTGTAAGTTTATATTCAGACAAGTGAAATTTTCAAGTACTTGAAGGGTATAACAGGTCATGTATCATGTTTATCAGTAAATGAGGTAATCATTCAATTGTAGGATATGTTAATTCAGTCTGCGTTTGTCATATGGATGAAAGAAGTTCTACAACAAGGCATGTCTTTAATTTACTAGGAAGACCATTTGTTAAAAATCATCAATTCAATCCATAGTGATCATGCCATTAAGTAGAGTAGAGTACATGGTAGCAGGTGAAGCTGCCAAAGAACCCTGATTTCAAGTGCATTGTAATAGTTAGAGTGTCATTTATTTGAAAAATAATAAGGTGTATCATGCCCGGACCAAACATATTGATATGAGGTTTTATAAGTTCAAGGAGATATTTGCATATGAAATATATTACTTGAAAAGGTTCATACTTAAAAAATGTAGTCGATATGTTGACCAAGTTAGTCATCAATAACAAGTCTAAGCATTGCTTGAACTTGTTTTATGTTTTTCAATGTTAAGCAGGAGATGTACTTTCTTAGTTGTTAGGATGTGATCGTCATGCATGAAGTCTTCATAGGAGTTTGATATTTGCCAAGGTGAAAATTGTTGAGTATGACTCATATTAAGACAAAGAGAAATACAATATGTGAAAATTCCAAACGGTCTAAGGCCCAACTGTTTGTTATGGGTAGGTACTAGGGGGTAAAGGGGAAGTAGCTCCCATGGTATGGTTTAGGAGCATTATTGTAAATTAAGCCACAATATTATATACATTGCTTGAAATAATGTAATCTGATTTATTAGAAAAAAAATCAAGATAACTATAATAACTTTGTGGTTGCGGAGGTAGACACCATTGATCAAATTTTATTAAAAAAATTGATCATATTTATTGCCTTTTAATTTTATTTTTCTTTAATCTTCAATATTGGTTGTTTTTCTAACAAAAATAGGTAGACAAGGTGATTACTCGTGACGTGGCATAACTAAACCAATTATGAAGTTTTTGTTTCATATGTGTGGTTGTTGGAAAGTTGTCACATAATTAAAATAAAGAAGACGTTCATGAAGATTACACTTAGAAAATTCAAAGCGTGTGAATTCACACTAATCTTTAGGTTCAATTCTCCCCATCAATTATTTTAAATTGAATGCAACTAGGATTAACGACGAATTCTCTTCAGAGCATTTCGAATATGTTAATGTGAATTTCACAAACACACAAAGCTTATATTTTGATAATATGTTACAGAAAAATGTTTCCTACACTTCACCGATGCAATAATGAAATAAATGATGATTTAAAATAATTATAATAGGAGAGAAATTGATTTAAAAAGTATGATTTCATATGTTCTATCTGCTTCCTAAGTTTATCTATTTATATAGAAGCTTATGTTACTTGGTGAAGATAAACATTATTTGGATAAAATTTTGCACCTGATTGAAATTTTGTTCCTCTGTGGTCAGATGTTGGACCAGATGTCTGGGACAACTTGTTATACCATAATAAACACACATGACAACAATAATACATGGAGCTAAAACCTATAAAGAACACTAAGAATTTTTAATCTATTTCAGTGCAACCAACACTTACATCTGGGGGCATTCTACCTAAGAAAGGAAATCCACTATTTAATAGAATTAGTACAAAGTGTCTTAGATGAACAAGCCCCTTGCTCAATGTCAATATTCTTAATTCTATCCTCAATATATTTTTATTTAGGACTCTCCATAAATATGAGAATCCTCTCTCACTTTCTCTCAATCACTAACTCTATTGATCATCAACAATAATTAGAACGATTTAATGTTGAATACATAACTAAACTAAACAAACCAACTACTATGACATATGATATGAACTAAGCAATAATGTGGTGTACAATTAACACAAACAAAGACTCAGCCTAAAACTCAAATTATCACTCTAGCTTGTTGGCTCAAAGACATGAAAAGAGTCTCTATATATAACAATCCATAGATGAGATTTTCTCCATGGATTTAGGCAACGATCTTGTCTAGATATTGTGAAGATTAAGTTACGATTTGTTACTCCAAAACAACTCCCAAAAAAAGGATTGATTTAATTTGAATTCAAATTTAAATCTCCTTGATTTAATTTTAGTTTAATTAAATAATCAAAAAAATCAAATTGCTAAAAGATAGTAACATTTCTTGTTGCACACATCAACAGAAGAATGTACTATAATTAGTTGGAAAATGCGTGCACACAACAATAGCCTTATCCTGCAAATAATGGCCATATGATGGTACATCTGTTCTCACATGTGACTTTCTTCACAAAAGCACCTAGGGCTAGATTTGCCACACCAACTAGAACATCATGTCTAACATGTGTTCATACCATGTTATTTTGCATAATGTGGTCAATTCAAAAAGGAACAATAATGAATCATTATAAACCTATAACGATCATAACATTCAAAAAGTTTTGCATTGGTTCAATTGGTATAGGTGCTAGTTCAGCAACCAAAGGGCGTGTGTTAAAACTTGTGTTTGTTCCTTTTGAATGAAATTTTTACTATCATTGGTAAAATAAAATTTATTAAAAAAGCAAGCAACTTCAGTTCAAACCAAAGACGCACGCACGCACGCGCACGCGCGCGCACACACACACACACACACACACACACACACACACACACACACACACACACACACACACACACACACACACACACACACACACACACACACACACACACACACACACACACACACACACACACACACACACACACACACACACACACACACACACACACACACACACACACACACACACACACACACACACACACACACACACACACACACACACACACACACACACACACACACACACACACACACACACACACACACACACACACACACACACACACACACACACACACACACACACACACACACACACACACACACACACACACACACACACACACACACACACACACACACACACACACACACACACACACACACACACACACACACACACACACACACACACACACACACACACACACACACACACACACACACACACACACACACACACACACACACACACACACACACACACACACACACACACACACACACACACACACACACACACACACACACACACACACACACACACACACACACACACACACACACACACACACACACACACACACACACACACACACACACACACACACACACACACACACACACACACACACACACACACACACACACACACACACACACACACACACACACACACACACACACACACACACACACACACACACAC